ATACCTTCATTAAGGACAAAGATTCCTCCTATAGCCTAAACAGACTTTCGTTGCAAGTTCTGTTAGCAAGCACCTATGAAGGCCGGCACAGCACACCAGGCGATGGGTGATCAGCACCACGCCCGGCCTCCTTTGCCTTCCGAGTTACAATGTTTACATATCAAACCAGGTACTCATTTGAGGCTGTCAACCGAACGGAGGCCCAGGACCGGTTCAGATAATTACGTATCAACTGGTGCTGGCCGTGAGCAAGAATCAAACTCGAGTTACCAGGTTCGTAGCGCAGCGTGCTAACCACTGCTCTCCCAATACCCACAGCACATGCTCACACACAAACACACAGACACACACCGGCGCAGGGCAAATATATGTGCAGGATGACATGGATGTTAAGTAATGACACGCGGAATTTTTTAATTGTTTAATTACAGTACTTAATTTCTTAATCTCCGTGAAAAAAAATGTGGAATGCTGCACAGCATGCTGGGAATATATGTGGCGCTCCATACACCCGACTACCAAGACAATACCGAGTGTCTAAGCCATTGATGATGGACTAATTGCTCTGTCCACCAGTGACAGCAAAAATCCCACGGTGGTCTTTCAGGAGGAAAGCATTATGTACGTGTCATCGGCAAATTAACCACCTGCTAGAGGAAATATCACGGGTACAAAATGCCCCCCCCCCCCCCCATTTTTAGTAAATAAGCTGAGAATTTATTTAATACGAAGAATATTTTGTATTAATTATTTAACGTTCACATAATTTTGAACTCGGTTTTAATCATTCTCATGAAGCATATGCGTGTAATTGTAATTCTGCTCAAGGTATGTTACTATGAACGTAAGGTTATTTTTTGCAATGACAAAAAACACTCAACGCGTGCCAAATATGTGCATGCAAAGGTGCAGCCCTGCAAGTGCTTGCTCATGGCACTGCTGGTGGAAGGACCTCCACTCGAGGGAGTTCTAGAAATCCCCTATAGAGGGCACTTAGCCTTCGCTCCCATGCTGGCCAAACGTCTTGTTAAAGGTGGCAGTAATCACACTTTTCCCCACCGCACACGACCTGTCGATCGACTAACTACGGGGAACCCATTTATACTGCTGGGGGGGGGGGGTGGGGTGGAATTTCAGAATAGCAACATATGTGCGTGTGTTTAGTTTGTTGTGTTGTCCTTCCCCCCGCACCTCCGATTAACATGGTTGGCTACGTACGGTGCGAAAGAAGTTCAACATACAGACACACGCTAAAAAGCATTTCTTTTTGAGAGCCTGCAAACATGTTATGTTTGACAACTGCGCGATATAATTTATGCACATCTCCCATGCATTCAAAACGTATCTATTTTAACCAGGTTCGTTTGTGCACAATTACTGCATTACTTAATTATCAATCCTGTTACCTAGCTATAATAATAATTGAAATTTATAAAACTCCCTTAAACAATCGTTTCAGAGCGCTAGCTATGTACCTTTAGCGAGGACTTCTCATCATTGCTTTAAAAAAAAACAATGAAATGAGCAGAGTGTTTAAGCGGGGAGCACGTAAGGGTTTTTTTTTGGCTTTCAACTTTGTCTCTTTTCATGGCCCCTTTATATTCTGCCCTTCAATTTAATGCAAGTAAGCCCGATGTGCTTGCTTAACACCGCTGAAAAGGTCTCTGTAATTAAACAAAGATCACCGACTGTCATTCATATTATATTTAGCTCTTGCATTGGGTCTAGAAAAAAAAACACAAATAACTTAAAATCTTCAATTTATAACAAAAAAAACCCGACTGCAATTACATGTAATTAGTGATTGATTGGTGTGGGAATGTGTATTTGTGAACTTAACATGCCATCCAAGGGATGCATTATTTATAATGAACTTATAATGCATTACCCGGGAGGGTGACACCGGGGTGAAATTGGTAATGATATAACAACCCTCCAATCCGGAGGTTAATATAAAGATTTTTTTACCTAAATCAAGTTAATTAACTGCATGACATTTATCAGCAAAATGTATTTGTAAGTGTTTAATCATTACAAGTAAATATGTCATCTTGACGAGGATTAGGATTTGCATTTAGAAAATAAATGGGAGAGAATTTCCGAGCAAGCGTTTTCCAAGACAAAGAACACCGTTATTTACCACGGGCAAGAGTGGCGGGGATTTACACAAATGATGATGAAGACGATGAAGACGATGAAGACGATGTGGGGACGAGAAGGGGACGAGAAGGGGACAGACACATTTAGCGCACAACTCGCTTTGGGCTAACAACAGAAGAGTCCCAGGAAGGAGGCGGCGTCAACAGGCAGCTTTCAACGCCAGAAACTGGTACTTGTCCCTCTTCTTAAGACATTTGATCTCAACAGGGCCTAAAGGGTATCTAGAAACATTAGCAACATAATACCTTTATTGTCTACAAATAGGGTTTATTTTTTGATAGCACGATCTTAAACATGCAGCAGCTATCATTATATAGAGGAATGGCCTTGCCTTCTCGGGTGAAGCCAATTCACACGCAAAAAAAAGGCATATGAGGCAGAATTACGAATTAATGAATTAAGCAACTGGGAGCAATGAAGCTCAAAATTATGCACGTATGTTTTATGAATAGCTAACCGCTTCTGAGGAGGCAGTTACAATAACGCTCAACGACCCTGCCTTCCGGCCTCTGAAATAGATGCTTGGTTTCTTATTTTCAAAGGGATGTTGCCAATCGTATAATGTACTTGCAATTCAGAGGTTGCTGGTTAAATCTCTCGGCGCGGTGATTCAAACAATGGAGAAAGTTTCTTAAATCGCCCCGCACTGCCTCTCTCTCCACCCAGCAGTATAAACGGAGTATAAACACATCAATCAATCAGCAGGTCATGTGTGGCAGGCTTAAGCGTGGGTAGCCCCATCTCTTCCAAGATGTCTGGCCAGTGTTGAAGAGTAGGCCGAATGCCCTCTCGAGGGGCCCTCTCGAGCAAACAATAACAGGGCCTCGCCCCAATTTTAAAGAGGGCTCCTCATACTGAGATTAACACTTGAGCGGAACAAACAAAAATTCAGTACTGAGTAGAGAAGAGTGCAGACTAACTGAAGTCTTCCCTTGAAGATTGTATATGTGCTTGTGGCCAATCCAAAACGTAATGGATGGCAATAATCAAACTGCTCTAGGTTTGGAGGACTTTCTTTAGAATGGCTGGTAGATGGGGAACCTGTAATACTCTGGGGAAACTTAAGCCTCGTGTCAATATGCTGGCATGTGAACTGGAGCGTCTGGCTGTGTTGTGTGTAAAGAGGCTCAGAGCTAAGACGCAACTCAACGTCCCCACTATTGACCACTGGAGGTGCAACCTCTTTCCGTGATAGATCGACAGTGGCTGAGTGAACATGCCAGTACGGGGAGGCATGTTTATTGCTTTAAGAAAAAAAAGTACATATAATAAAAATGCCAGTACCGCAGCAGCGCTTGCTAAATAAACTAATGGTGAACACTATGGTTTATTGAATTATATGCCTATTTCGTGGAAGCGTGCTCGTTGTAAAACTATGCAAATGCTGTATCCACCCAGTGAACAGGTGTAATGACAAGGTGATACCTGTCGGCCGGGAGTGGTAATTGCAATTATGGGTGCGTTTACTTAATGCCTTATTTTAAGGGGGCATATCTGGGGTAAAGGTGAAAGGCGGAGTCAGTCGAGAAGCTCCGGGAACCGGCTCGAGGGTTCTGGAAGGGGGCGTGGCCAGAGGTGGAGCTTGGCCGCACCGGGGCAGATATAAGGAGGACCGAACCAGAGGCTCGAGGCTGTTTGGAGTCCTGGGTCCTGGCTGCGTTGGTGCCCGCCGTCATCTCTTCGTTCTCCGACTACGTGGCTGATCTGCTGCGAGGCCCTCTCCGCCACTGTCGCTCCGCTAGTCAGACAGCTACGTAGTTGTATGCCGGCGGTGGGGCTGTGAGTGTTAGGATCGCATATGTGTAGCTGTGTTACATAACGTATCGCCCAGTGTGCTCTGAATAAATAAGAAGCCTTCTACTCTACGCGTCTCAGAAGTCGCTCACTGCACATGTAACGTTGGCATGTGGCTGGAACCGCTGGCCCAAACGCTCCTGCAATGTTGTCTGCAATGGCCCATGTTTACTGGATAGAGTTGTGGGGCAAGCTTACTTTGAGACTGGATACTTTATTCTTTGTCATCATCATTATCGGAAGCAGTAGATAGTTACAGGCTATTTAAATAATCTTCAGAAGTTGAATAAAATGTTTTATAGGCAATGATGAGGGTGGTCGGCTGGAATGTAACACCAGAAGTAATGGTAATATCGTTCATTCAAAGCCAGGCATTTTTATTCATGTTTTGAGCATTAACAACAGCAGCCCTTGATGATCTGAAACAATAATAATTTCCAGCAAAATTTGTCAGCATTATGCACGCTTGAAATTACATTGAGAGATAGAAAAATGAACACATGGGTTAGAGAACATATGCAGGTTAATGACATCGTTCAAACTATTAAGAGAAATAAGTGGGCCTTGACAGGACATGCCACCAGAAGGGATGTTGGCAGATGGTCAAAAATAATAACGGCGTGGCAGCCAAGAAACGGATCACATCCGAGATGGGCGTCCATCGAGGAGATGGAGTGATGAAATCAGCTCGTGTACAGGTGCTATGAAAATTATTACATCTCAGGGGATGTAATAGTTGAGTGGAGCAATATTGTAGGGGCTAGCACGCTGCGCTACGAATCCGGCGACCGGAGTTTGATTCCCACTCACGGTCAACACCAACAATTATCTGAACCGGTTCTGGGCCTCCCCTAGGTCGACTAGGCCTCAAATTAATATCTGGATCGGTGGGAAAACATTGCTTCTAGGGAGGCAATGGGTGAGGTGTTGGCCACCCATCCACTCGTATGGCGTTCCATCCTTCAGAGGTACTCGCTAACAACACTTACCCCAACAGTCTGCTAAAGGCTATACCGGGGATCTTTGTCTTTGTTATTACATCTCAGGATCGTCAGAATTGGCGGCAACTTCGGAAGGCCTTCATCCTGCAGTGGACCGAACAAGGCTGATGATGACGATCTTTTGTCAAGGATGGTCAACACACTGGTCGTCCTTCGACATGCGTGGACTGCTTTACAAGGGGAGCTGAAATGGAATGTACTGTAATTCAGTTCACGGTAGACGCTGCTGTCGTGTGTGATGCCCAGGAATGACTTTGAGAGGAACACATGCAGATCTCATGGCTTGGCAGCATTCATCAATGCCAGGGAAAGTTCTTCCACATTCTGTCTCGGAACCAAAGTTAATTTTGAACATCAAAGCTATGTTCATTTGTAAAAATAAAAAAAAATCGGCTAGTGACTTTGTGACTATTTTTGTTCAGTTAGAGGTTATGCACTGGTCCAGGGCCACGGTGCTCAAGGTTTTGTGTTTCTCTCCATTTGTATTTCAATGATGTCTGGTTGTGTTGTTGTTGTTGTTTGCCATCGTTATGCGTTGCTGTACCTTTGTCGTCTTCTCCTTCTCATAGTCCCTTAGCCATTTAGGCTCCTGGGGGAGGGCCATTTCCTTCACCGATATCTCCTTGCAGTATTCTCTCCACTTCTCTGCCCGTCACTGCATCTTTCAACTGAGGTAATTGATGTTTGCACACTTGTCACTTTGTTTTCTGAGACTGATACACAACTTGTACAAAGACGAATGATTTGTCTAGAATGTGCAATGTCCCTGGCTGCTTGTAGTCAAGTTTTGAGGATTTAAATCTATACATGAAAAAAACAGCAACATTAATATGCGTATGGTAACTGGTAATGTACTAAATGAACATGTATACTATCATCTGTATGCAAGTACAAATGTTTTGAAGCCATTCTGGGGGATAATTCTGCAGAATAAATGTAAAGAATGACATGGTGTGACAGAGTATGAACGTTTTTGTTGTGATAGTATGTAAATCTCTAACCAAATTACGTGCCGTTATATCATACTACGATTATAATAATCGATGCCTCGAGTTTCCTGGCTGGCTGCTGGCTGGGCTCCTCTCCATCCCAAAAGTAACTCTGTTGTTGTTAGTGGCTGCTGAGGGCCGTTGCCATCGAAACTAGCTGCGTAACTGGCTAAACGTGATTATCCATGTTACAAATAAACAGTGACTTGAAATAGCAGAAACATTTGAAGACGTAGTAGTAATAATAATAGATAGATAGCAACACCAAATAGGTGGGGGCAATGAAAACGTAAAACTGACCACGGTTCATAATAATTTGCTTTTACATTTAAATTTGTGCTTCTATTATTGTAATTCCGTCAGCAGAATAGAATTTGAATCCTTCGAAAATATAATAAAAACCTCACAAGACATTATCTTGGTACTTTATTACTGAAAAGAGCAGATTAGCAGTGCTCCAAGTACAGGATTGTGAGAAGAGTATAATAATTACAGCTCTCTCTTATTTCTATTTGCAGAGCATCAGGTTCTCTACGAGTTGGTGTGTATGTTGAACTTCTTTAGCACCTTACTTAGCTATACAGTTAGTTTAAAAAAGCAGACTCACAAACTGGTACATCCTTTAATGCACTCTATATATTTAATGGCATATTGCACGCGACTCAGTGCAGCCTACAGTACATGTAGTTGGAGTAGTTAAGTTCAATTAAAAATTTATTAAAATGTAGCGAGACAGAGAGGTGAGATAAGTGCTTTTAAAAATGTGACAATACCGAGGTGATTGATGTTGATTCATGATTTTTCGCATGCTACCAACCAGCGCTGTCACAACTCACTATTCAAAACTCATAATTTAGCAGAAAAAAAGGTGAAATTTTGATTTGCAACCATAAATAATTCCATCAGAAGAAATTAGAAGATGCATCAATCAAGTTTGAATCGACATACAGGTACCGTGACATATTGATTAACGAGTATAATCTTAATAAGATTTTATGAGGAAGGAAAAGAGAAACATAACATTAATTTATTAAAAATATGTATACATTTATAAAACTTCAAATTTTATTGATGCTACGGTATGATACATTTTTTTTTATCATATCCTCTTGCTGCAGTCATAATCATTTAATAAATGTTGGATGACTGGGCCTCAATGGTAAGCATGGTACCTTTGAAGCTACATGGCTGAAGACTCTAATATTCAATTAATACATAATCAAGGTCAAGAGGTCATCACGACCAATGTCTATGATTCCATCACTCGTGATCATTACTTCCGACCGAGCCAACTTCTCTGGCTCTGTCCATCTGCACACAAAGATAAAGACAAAGATCCCCTGCATAGCCTTTAATAGACTGTTGGGGCAAGCGTTGTTAGCGAGCGCCTATGAAGGCCAGAACGGTACACGAGGGGGTGGGTGGCAGCACCATGCCCGACCACATTTATCTCCCTAGTGCCGATGTTTACACACGTCAGGTAGTCATTTTAGGCTGAGTCGATCTAGGGGAGGCCCAAGACCGGTTCAGATATTCGTCACTGGTGTTGGCTGTGAGCCGAAATTGAACCTGGGTCGCCAGGTTCTTAGGCAACAGGTTCTTAGGCGCAGCGTGCTTACTGCTACACAATCGCTCCCCATCGCCACACGAACACAAACATACACACTGATGAGTATGGCAGTGGCTCAGCCTTCTCTTGAGGCGCTGAGTGTAGCAATAAGCCCAAAATGCCTCTTCGCTACTTAAAAACAATGATGATAACGATAATTGTAGTTCTGGCTATGGCGATAAAGGAATGTGGCAATGCTAATGTGAAACGATGATGATAGATGAAGATGATGATTGTAAAGACAAACAAATGAGGACGATGATGTTGCTGCTGCTCACCACCAGGCAAACATGCTCAAGAGTTTGCACAGAATGGGCCCACCATGCCCTCTCAGTGCCCCCTGTGCAAGCGGCACCTTCGAAGGCGTTGCTTTTGCCACAATTTCTGTGAAATCAGCCACCATTTTGCAACAACAACAAAAAAGTGGCAGAGTGACAGCCAGAATAGCCACATGGCTTGGGCCACAACACTCAATGCTGATCATGTATCGCAACCGCTTGGGGAAACTTCTTAAAATTAAAGTACCAGAACATCTCAAAGATTCATAAAAAAAACAAGTCGTTTTTCAAAAATGTAGTGTGCGCTTTGTGCATAATGTGAAATAGCACTTTAATTTAAGGCAACCGATATTCATGGTGAATGAAAGGGAAGGGATGTACATCATGATTACACACCCCTTGCACTTTTGTCCCCATCGCTTAATGACATTGCACTTTCAACGAGCTCTGTTCGTGCAATTATAACTCGGGTGTAGTGTCCAACAGAGAGAACTTGGCACGCCACGCGATTCATTCTTGAAGACATCGCAATAACTCTCATCTTTTATAACTTTACTGGTGCTAAATTTTGATTTAAAGCTTTCGTGACTGCAGGGATTCATATTTTTGGTTCTTTCGGTAAAGTCACGTGGTGCTGTTTTTTTTTCTGGCTTCTCTGGAACAGTAGTTTGGGAGGTTGGGCCTTTGCTCTGCAAATGTGATAAATAAAAGAAACTAAACTTGTGAATATGTAATTCAGTGGCTGTTAAATATTAAACATAGAGGTGACTTGAACATCTTTTAACCACGTGCTTTCACAGCTGCTAACAGATATTAACGATGCCTGCTTCAATTGCATTTAAACATTCTACAGGGTGGTTCAGATGTCTTGTGACCCCCCATTGAATCCTCTAAAACTTAGCATATATATTCAAGTATGGTTTATTTAAAACAGAAATGAATATGCAAAGGAAAACAACGTGAGGTTGTCAATTAATTGGGGGGGGGGGGGTCACAAGACATCTGGACCATCATGTACAATCATAATACAGGGTTTAACATGTAGGCTTTCGCGACCAATATTATTCATAATAAAGGTTTTTGGGTTAGATCGCGTTTATTTATAAATGTGTCGTAACCATCCACCACCCAACACGGCCAATTAGCAAAAAAGTGTCACGTTGACAAAAGAGGAGGGTTACGACACATTTATAAATAACCCAAAAACCTTTATTATGAATAATACAGGGTGTTTCAAAAAGATGGACCTGATTTGAAATCGCTATATCTTTGAAACTGGGTCCATCTGTTTTGAAACACCCTGTATAGCAACACCGCTGTTCAATGCACTATATTGATTCAGTTTGTACTGTAGTTGATGGGTATGTAAGTGGAAGAGAAAATGTATCCTCCCGACTGCAGTCTAGTGTTAAATACAAATCTAAATAATCCAGTACTGGATTAAGGCCTTGTTATGCCATATTTTATGTATGTTGAACTTCTTTCGCACCATACGCAGCCAACCGTGCTAATCGGAGGTGGACATGGGGTCAGTGAGGGTTGGCAGAAGGTGAGATCCAGAACTGTCTCTCGCCACTGATGTTGGCCATGACCGTTAGTCAAACTCAAGTTGCCAGGTTCATAGCGCAATGCGCCAGCGGTTCCACTCCTCGCTAATGCAGCGTACAGCTCATGCAATTGCGATTTCACATTTGTGGAGACATTCAGGGGTGTCCTCTCCATCATCTGAGTGTCAAATGGGCTGAGGGCACCGATGTATGGCATTCTACATCCTGTATTGATATTTGGTAGATTATCAACAAACTAGTGCCATGGCAACCCCCTCCCCCGCTCCTCAAAACATACCACAAACATTGAATGTATTAATTTAACCAGAGATGAGAACACAAGTCATTGAAACCCTTTTTCAAAGCTGTTATTAAAAAGACAACTGGTTATGAAGGCCAACGTGGTTTACCACATTATCTCTCGCCAATACAAGGCACAGTAATGTACATACGAGCACACAGTGCGTACAGGTACGCATGAGGCATCATCAGATGGGAGACGATCTGTTATTGTGGCTATCAGAGTATTGGCAAATGCTTGTGATATAGATGCTGAGACCTCAAGATGGAAGGTGGAATTGCAATCATGGTACATCTGTCCTGCTCCCTATTCACGTCACAAGCACATTTGTAAAATGTTTGTATTCGCGTTACGAGAGATGGCTCAAGGTGACGGGGTGCATTAGGAGGAGAAGTGAGGGGTTCAGTGGTTGAGAGGTCTACATCTATAGCCTACTCCCCCTCCCTCCCCTCCCCGTCCATTTAATCGTACGGGAAAAATACTGTGAAAAAAATATGGATCAAACCGTATAATAACTCTTGATGTAAGATCCGCTTGATGTGCTCCCCAACGAAAGTAACGTTTCAAAGGCTCGCGAGGTAAGCACGGAAAAGGCTTAAACAATAAGCACAAAAGAAGAAAGGAGCGTAGGAAGAACTCGCAAAAAATATTCTATTCCCTGCGTGCAGGAACGTATTTTTGCGCAAACACCAAGACGGAGAAGGCAGATGTATTACAATGGGGCAGGGGGGGAGGGGAAATAGTGTTTAATATTGTGATTAACACTGACATAGGAAATTATCTCTAAAAGTTTCGAAGACATTTTACACTAAAAAATTAATGGGAACAGATTAACATTGCACGATATTCACGTACGTTAAGCACCGCAGTGGGGTAAGATAGAAACATAAAAGGAGTGACATGGAAAGTGCACAAGCTTTACGGCTTTGCCTCAATAACAGACATGATC